TGGACTGATTTTTTTTCAGTAATATATCAGTTATGTTTTATACAATTGAATGTAAGGGTTTTTCCCGGTAAGGCGTTTTGGCACTCTTTTAACACAAGTTTTGTACATGTATATTTAAAGACCAGAATATGAATTAAACTTTTCTCTTAAAATTCTATCAAAGTTTGTTCCTAAATTTTTATAACTACCGGGTTATTTGATAAGAGAAAAGTCAGAAAGTGAAATCTTTCAACGTGGCTGTGAAATAATTTTGGGGCCCGAACAAAGGAAATTAAAACAGAATAAATCAGATCCATCCATAAACATTTTACAAACCAAGGTCAAAACATTCAATTTTCAGTACATATCGCTTAGTGCACAGTAGTGTACAAATTCTCCCCCTATTATCAGTTTTTTTTAGGAACAAGCTAGATGCATGATTTATATCTTCTTAAAAATGAGTTACGCTGAAAAATATGGTGATAACTAACAATATTCTTGCTCAAAATTCTATTAAACATTGCAAAATTGAAGCGGAGCAAATACGTACCTCTGAAATAAGGGGCTAATGAGTAAGCAAGGGTATCGAACCAATTCATAAAATACATGTATATGCTACTTGCAATAAAATTTGAATTCAATGTTACAACAAATCATGGGATGGGGGTTTCACAAGTTGTACTGATCATTACTAAATATCACTAAAATGCTGTCTTAAATTTTCTTTCATTGATTGCTACATGTATTTTCATTCTAAGGCAAAAATATATATCCTAAACAGAATATTGTAAATCATGAGATGTTAGACATTATTTTCTTTTCTTTATTTTTTCTACATCATCTTTGTGGACTCGTATAAATCATAATTTAAATTATTGTTTTAAAGCTATGAGTATCATTGCAGAAAATATCTACCTAGATCCATTAAGACAATTTCAGTTATATTCTATTTACATTTACTATGACCAATCCTGCTATTCCAAGGTTCCATTTTGACATTTTGACATGTAGATTGAATGATTGCGTATTTTGTAATATCCATTTTTTTTTACTTTTATTGACTAGGTGCCTATTCTAAAAAAAAAAATGTATGCTAGTTGTTTTATAATTACAGGTATTTTTCTTAACAAAAAAAACCCTTTCTAAAGTAGCAGCTTGCAAAATATGGACGAAAACAGAATGTAAAAGCGTATATAATTGCAAATCAAACAAACATTTCTTCCTCTCTAAGGACATAATGTGAAAAGTTTGGGTGGTAATTGCCGAGAAATTTTGAAAGGAAATTTGAGATCTAAAATAATAATTCCTATCATAAAACCAACAGTGAGTATTGGCGAGTAGGGTGACTTTTTTTCAGTAAAGTGTAAAATAATTATTTGTATATACGATTACTTTTTCTTTAATAGTTGAAAATTGACATGGAGAGCTAACACAATTTATCATTGAGACAAATGCTGTTTGACATTTCTGATCTAAATTATTAGTCCAAAATTTATACACTGAATTGAGGACGGACTCTTCCGTTTTTTACCGATCATGACATGGAGCATTTTGACGGGTGTGACCGGTCGGCAGGGGATGCTCACTCCTCCATGAATCCTGATCCAACCTCTGATGTCTTGGAGATCTGTGTTTCCTCTGCTCCTATTTTGTATTGTTTTATGGACTTTTGATCTAGAATACTGTTCGTTATCTTCATATAAATCATCTATGTGAATTTTGGAGTTCAGAGTCTCCAAACACTCAATTGAAATTTGCCCTCAGTAGTTTACAGATCTATTTTTGTATTCATATGAATATGTTCAAATCGATTTTTAGATACATCGATGTCGTTTGTCAATCAACAAGGACTATTTCATTTTGTTTAGCTGGAATTAAAATACACCACTGGATCCGACAACCATTTTCATATTTAACTATCTAAATAGAAAAAAAAGCATAAAAGGTAACTTAACAAAAATATCTTTACGGTAAAAGTAGCTTTTTTTAAACTTATCAATCGTCTAATTCCTATACCTATGCAGCAATATGAATGTACACCTGATCTTACTGATCTTGCTATAGGCCAATAATTTACCAATGATGTACTTCTTCTTTATTATCATATGTAATTGTTGCTTGACTTTTTTTTCTTTTTTGAAGTTATAAGCGCATATATACATGTATACGATCATGTTAATAAATGATTGGGTTTTTTTCAGTTCTATTAAAAAAAAAAAACCGGTAACGTACCGTTAACAACCGTAACAAGCATCATCCTATCTGTTTTGCGTTTCGTCATATATGTAATATGTATACATAGATCACAAACATATTTGAAATATGTGAAGGAAAAAAAGTAATAAAGTATAAGAAGTCCATTAAAACGAATCAAGTTTGGAAATAGAGAAAACACAGACCTCTAATCACATCAGTTTTACCAAATTTACTATCATAAAAAAAGAAGATAGAAAAAAGAATTTAATTTCTACTAATGTTTTTCCATCGAATTTGTTATTTTATTAGCAACATTATTTTTCAATGATTTTTGTTACGCATTATTTCACAGTTTGAACTTCTTTGTCTGTTATTACAACGAAAATGAATTTTTTCTTTAAAAAAAGTCAGAAGCCAAAAATTTCACGGTGTAAATAAGCTGTAAATGATGTGTCTATTGATTCAATGAGCCGTGCATGATGACAATGATCTCGTTTTTGGCAATCAAAAGTAAAACTTCGCTACAGGATAAACAAAACAAACGATTTTGAAAAACACGTGATTTTCCTATTAATATAATTTTTATTGACTTTCACTTATTTTTCCCAATATTTCAAAGCAGTTACCATTCATTTTTTATATTCATTCAATAAAAAATGGAACCTAACACCAAAAGTTTTGCCGTTGCTATAAAATATATGGAGATAAGGAACAGTATTCAAGTTCCGTAAGCATGCAAATCAGGAGCAGACCAGACTATCAGAGATAGGTTCGAGTCCCTGTTGGTCACATCCACTGTGCATGTGTGCTTTTTGTTATGATCGAGAAATAACTGAAAAGGCTGTCGAAAATTAATTAGATAATGACTTAACTATTAGTATTGAAAACGTCATACAGCATATGACAAAATGAAATTTGATTTCAAGGTCATTATATAGACATGCAAAATATAAAACAATATGATTCCTCTCAATGAAAGTTTGAAATAGTTAGTGACTGGACATGTTATCATTACTGTACATCTATCAATCCTGTTTCACGTGAATGGTAACGCTGTTGTGCCAAGGCTTCCTGAAAAAAATCGCAGTGCATCAAATGCAACCACTTCTCTTAACTACCAGAATATGAAGTCAACATTGTATATGATATCAAACTACCAAAACCTTGCGTAATCATGACAGGAGAGTGTCAGAAAGTTTTTAATCACGTTTTTAACAGTCCAAGCAACAGTTTTTTTCATAATCTTCACGTTCTCTCCTGAAGTCCTTTTACCGTTGTCTAACCGTTTAAAATTACACTTTGCTACTTGAAAACAAAAGCCAGGAATAACTCTGTTTACTTCTTGAATCTTCAAACAATTTTGAGTCTACGTTGGCATTTTCCCGAGCATAATCCAAAATTTATAGAATTACGCTTCTCCGTCAGTTCACGAGAATTTTTAATGCAGAATCACTTTATCTCTGTAGTTACATTGCGTATTACGTCAGAAATGGTAATCCATAATAATTGAGCGATGTAAAGAACACTGATTAAATTATAGCGATTGATAGAAAAGAATTCAAGATAACTGAAAAGATTTTGGAACATCTGTTAAAGTAAATGATAGCAGAGTCCACATAATTTTTTAACGGGATTTTAAAAATGTAATTGCAAAATCACATCTTTTTACTCTTGTTTTAGCCTGAGGATTTGTAATCTTTATAAATTATTAAAACGTTATGATTTTCTTTAATTCCTCTGGAATAAAATAAAAGGTTTTGTTCATTTGTTTCCCAATTTTTTTGTTTAACATCCCTCCCGAAAATTTTTCACCATTTGCTGATGGAGAACTGTAAATGTTTACTTATTTTCTGCATTCATAGCCATTAAGTAATCAGGTAAATTTTTCATGCAAGCACATACTGCAATACTGGACCTCGGTTTATGCCGTCTCATTTTAATAACTGACCTTCAAGTTCCACATTAGAATTCAAGATTTCAAATTTCAAAAAGTTTTTAGAATCCTTCTAAAGAATCAACAAATACATTAGAAAACTGTATATTTGATATATTGTTATTGACATTTTGGCTAGAGGAAATCAAGTATATGAAATTTGAATTTAGAAAATGATGTGTTTTCCCTCCACGTTTTACCATTAAAATACGTATACAACCTTTTATTTATCATTTATTAAACGACATCAAAAGGCATAATTCACACTCTGAATCGTCTAATTCTGTTCTTCCTGATCATGACAAAGAGCACTCGTCTGGTGTGCTTAGTGGATAGGATGTTTACTCGTTAATGGCTCCTGATCCATCCCTTGAATAGGCTTCGATATTGTAGGAGGTTCATGTTTACTTTGCTCCAGATTAGAGTTAGAGCAGAATATTTAGCGAGGATTTAATTTTGGCATTATAAGCGAGAGTTATGATATCGCTAAAATTCAATATCATTAAAAATTAATTGCGTTTTAATTGTAAAAGCTTTTTATGTGAGAATTTTGAAATCGCTAAAATTACAACTCACTAGCTAGAACTGACATAACAAATTTAAAGAACAAATTTGCATCTCGGTAAAATTTTACTTATATGGTATTTCAACTCTTGATAGGATGATGGGAAATCAAAGGTGTCAACTGATTGGTCTAAATACTGGCATAACTGATAAAAATGTCGACAGTTATACTGCATAACTTGTTACCCCTCTTCCGTTTTCCTGTTATAGTTATCGTTTTTTACGTACTAAGACGTATACCTTCTCTGTGTTTCTTGTAATATATTCCACAATCCCAGGACGAGGTTTCAAGCCAATTAACTGATATAGCAAAGATTTTAACATTTATTTTAGCCCAAAAAATATCTTGATGTTGTATATTGAATATTTAATTGTTTAAGTTTCAAGGAAATTAATGATTCACATAACCAACGAAGGACTTCTCAATATGTTGGTATTTCGATTACAATGTTTTCAAAACTTACATTATTAGAACTTAGTGATCTATCTTGTTCCAAAGAATTCTATAATCTTACAATTTAAGTTTGAAGGAAAATTTAAACAAGAGTTTTTTTTTCGTAATATTGAGATTAGCATTCTTTACATAAATCGTTTTTTTTCTTCAGGGAGTTTTCAAAGTTATTAAAAACCACAATAGAAAAATAGTATGAATAGAACAGCTACACATTGTCATTTGAACGTCTCAGAAGTGAACACTTATGGCTTATTTTCCTGTGAAAGTGAACCGGTAGCATGTAAAATGAAGGATAGAAAAGTAGGCTTCTCTTTTTGAGGAGTGATTTTCCTAATCTATAATCAATAACATGTCTTATACTTGACTCTCAAACACACTGTCTTTTGTATTGGAGTGCTGGTCCAATGTCCCTGAAAGAAAAAATGTAAAATCTTACTTTAAAATCTTACTTTACATCTCTTTTCTATATATTTCTCATAATCAATATTTGCTTATATGTCATCAAATAGTAAAAAAAAAAAAGATTTCATAATTCAATTAAAATTTTACAGCCGTTCCAAAATTAAACTATTTACATCTTTAAAAAAATCATGTAGTAATTTTTTGTAGAAAAAAAAAACGTTAACAAACAAATTCCAAGAATCGAGATCCGCTTTTTGTGTCTTTGTGGTTGAGGTGTCTTTATTCATGATAAATTGTATCAAATATGAACTTCATATCATGCACTGTAAATCATTCAAAAGTTATCTACAAAGTTGACTGTTATAAAAATTAGATCGAACATAAGGTTCAAATGGTCATAAATCATAGCATGCTCGAAAATATCTTGTCACGGGTAATACACACATCAAATATGAAAGCCTTATCTGTTCTCTTAAAAAGTTATAATGAAAAAAATATTTTTTTGAAAAGTAGGTCAAACGTTAAGGGCAAGTTTATCAGGTCAAAAATAATGCATAATGTCTTGTCACAGGTAATATACATGCGAAAAGTGAAATAGATATTGATCTTCTCATTCGAAAGTTATGACAACGTAAAAATTTTCAAAAAGTAGGTCAAACTTAAAGGTCAGTGTGTAAAAAAATTAATTTAAAATATTGCTTAATTTCTTTTGAATGCCAAACTCCAAGTCTAGGTCACTTGGTCAAAAGTCATAGTAAGATCTATTCATAGGTATTACATATATTATGATATATGAAAGTCCTGTCTCTTTTCATTGAAAAGATATGACTAGGGTTAAAGTTTGGGACAGACTGACAGACTGGCAGACTTAAAGACTGACAATCGAATGAAATTAAATGTACCCTTGCTTATACGAAGGCGAGGGACAAAAACGCATGCTCTACCTTTGAAATTAGGCCCAGTGCATTTAAAATGGTCCAAGCTTGTTAAGGATACGCCAGATACAATCACACTACGGAGATTCAACAGAGAAGACTGAGAACTATGTCTGTCTTCTTGTGTTGTCCTGTCTCTAAGTTGAGCGTTTTGATACGACCGTGCTAAGGGACACTCTGGGTCGGAGAGAAGCATTTCCTGTGTCTGATAAAGCTTGTCGCTTATATCTTTACCAATCAATAAATGAAAGATAGCAGATAAGGCAGGATCTGACAGTAAATATTGATGTAGTTTATCAAGTGACCATGTTAAAATAAGGCATTCTTCTATTGCGGAAATTGACACCTGAAAAATAAAACAGTTTAGAAGTTTTAAAAACATAACAATAAGCGAATAATTCTCCACAAATGTAATAGAAAAGGCAAAAATAAAGTTTTTTTTTTCATCGCTCAAACAACAACACTACAGACCTGAGCACGAGAGATCAACTCAGTAATTAACACTACTGGCTTTTAAAACCCCTGTCCGTATGAAAATCCACTGTCTTTCTCTGTATCCTACAGCATTTTCACAGTAATCTACCGTAACGGTATATCTACAGTATGCTACGGTATGCTAGCTCTGTATATACAGTAAATCTCTGTATGCCACTGTATGTATCCCCAGCATGCCACAGTAACATACAGTAGGCCCCGATACGCCTACAGTATGCCACTGTATGGCCACTGTTTCCTACAGACAACTACGGTAAACCACAGTATATGCCCCAGTACGCCCCTGTATATGTTCATTGAAGCAAAAATAAGAAGTTTATACACTCCCAGAGCACTGTACGTATACCTAAGATGTGGGATTATCAATTTATTACACAGAGTTACTTACCTAAGAAATTTTTGAACATTATTTTAAACACATAGTAGTATCTTTTTTAATTTGTTAGGAAACTTATTGTGTTCTTTTATAACTCTGAAACAGCTATTAAAAATTAATATATCGTTGCTTCAAAAAAATATTTATCTATCAATTTTTAAAATTAATTATTAAATTATTCTTTGAATTGATTTATTAGTTAATTAATTAATTTATTTATTTTGCAAACACCTATTTAATCCATAAAATACTTGGAGTGACTTTGTAACTTTTGGGAAAAATCAAACAAAAAAAAAAAAAAACCACAGCCGGGGTAATGCTGCATTTTTGAAAATTATAGTTTTTAAAATTGATATAGTTTCTTTGACAAAAATAAATATAATTAATTAACGGCATGAAATTAATCATTTTAAAAACAAATCAATCTATTTCTTGACAAATGCAGAGCTGCATAGCAGACACGGCACAAAACAAATAAGGTGAAGTGGAAAGTGAAAATTAAATAAAATAAATGACTTTAAAAATACAAAATTAATAAATGAACTAATTATTTATCTTATTTATTTATTCTGTTTATCCATTTATCTACAAATACATAAATAAACAAAATAAAAAAAAAACATATTTATTTATTTTTGTAATTGACAAGACAACACAGTGATTAAATATACACCCCCCCCCCCCAATTGATTTTTTTTTGTTTTATTTTTATATGAAGATTATTTCTCCTAAAATATGCTACGAAGTATTTTTTAAGCATATTAAAACATATTTCAATTATTTTACGTCCATGATGGATATCAAAATAATCGTCAGATTATGCACAATGTAATTTGTAAATTGCAATTTCTTATATTTACTTTGTTTTGACTGCTGTTTTCAAAATCCTAACACGATTATGAAAGAACTTCAAAGCCACTGATTGTTTACAAGTGACATGGGGTACACAGTAATGACACCTATCGTCTTTTTCACTGACTACTATACCTTGTTTATTTTGTGGCAGAGAGCGATCGTGTCCACTCTAAGGCTGTTTGAAATAACATTTTCTCTTTGTAAAAGAAACGATTTTTGTCAATCAAATCAAAATTAAAGTATCAAAAAAGTAAATGACGGGTTAAAGTTGTGGATAATGAGACGATTATTTTGATATCCAACACGGAAGTAAAATAATTAAAAGTAGTATAAATATGCTTCAAAAAGACTTTGAGAGACATTTTAGCGGAAACTTGTTTACATTAAATAAGCCAATTAAATCCAACTTTCGGGATTATAATTAATTAATTTGTTTGTATCGTCAATTTTAAAAATAAATAGATAAATATATTGTTCTTTTTACAATGTTGAAATACGTGCTTTAAATCAGTTTTATTTATTTATTCACTAACCATTTAAAAATCAATTATTGAATTGATTTTAAAAACTAAAATTTTCTAAAATGCAGCATTACTCTTGTTGTGTAGGTGTGTGTTTGTGTAATTTTTTTCTCCAGAAGGAACAAAAAAGCCATTCCAATTATTTTATGGATTAAAAAGGTGTTAGAAAAATAAATAAATGGTAAATAAATAAAATAATTAATTAATCATCATATAAATGTCAAACTATTTAGTTATATGTTTTACATTGACAATACAACAAAATCAATTATTCATATCCCCGAAAATGAGATTTTTTTAAGGATTTTTTGTATTAATATTTTTATCCTTAACTATGTTACAAAGTATTTTTTAAGCATATTGAAACGAATTTCAGTTATTTTACGTCCGTGATGGATATCAAAATAATCGTCATATTATACACAATTTTTATTTGTCAATTGCAATTTCATATTTTTACTTTGTTTTGATTGAAAAAAAATCTGTTTTCAAAACCCTAAAACGATTATGAAAGAACTTCAAAGCCATTGGTTGTTTACAAGTGACATGGGGTACACAGTAATGACACCTATTGTCTTTTTCGCTGACTACTATACCTTGTTTATTTTGTGGCAGAGAGCGGCCGTGTCCACTCTAAGGCTGTTTGAAATAACATTTTCTCTTTGTAAAGAAACGATTTTTGTCAATCAAATCAAAATTAAAGTATCAAAAAAGTAAATGACGGGTTAAGATTGTTTGTTTTTTTTTCCCCAAAAGTTACAAAGTCACTCCAAGTATTTTATGAATTAAATAGGTGTTTGCAAAATAAATAAATTATTTAATTAACTAATAAATCAATTCAAAGAATAATTTAATAATTAATTTTAAAAATTGATAGATAAATATTTTTTTGAAGCAACGATTAATTAATTTTTAATAGTTGTTTCAGAGTTATGAAAGAACACAATAAGTTTCCTAACAAATTAAAAAAGATACTACTATGTGTTTAAAATCTTAGGTAAGTAACTCTGTGTACTAAGTTGATAATCCCACATCTTAGGTAAACGTACAGTGCTCTGGGAGTGTGTAAACTTCTTATTATTTCTTCAATGAACATATACAGGGACGTACTGGGGCATATACTGTGGTTTACCGTAGTTGTCTGTAGGAAACAGTAGCCATACAGTGGCATACTGTAGGCGTATCGGGGCCTACTGTATGTTACTGTGGCATGCTGGGGATACATACAGTGGCATGCAGAGATTTACTGTATATACAGAGCTAGCATACCGTAGCATACTGTAGATATACCGTAGATTACTGTGAAAATGCTGTAAGATACAGAGAAAGACAGTGGATTTTCATACGGACAGGGGTTTTAAAAGCCAGTAGTGTAAAAGTTTGAATAAATTTGATTGGCGATATGATTGATCTACTCTTACTAAAGTTGCTTTTAAATTGATACTTCACATGATACCCTTGCTTTCCCTATTTTCTCTATATTTTCCTAAATCTTAAATAAATATGATCACACATTTCGGTCGAACCCCTACCTCTGGGAGTCATGATTTGAACAAATTTGGATGTACACTACCTTAGGATGTTTCCATATATACACATCCATGAAAAATCATGGCTTTGCTATTCTAGAGAATTAGATTTTTAAAGACTTGTCCTTTATCTTCATATGCTGAATTTTGCTCGTCCATTTTGATCCCGCCCTTTCTCAGGGATTCATGATTTGAAGACACTTGAATCTACAACACTGCAGGATAAATCCTCATCATTTTTGTCTTATATTTTTCAAATAACGCTGACAACGCGATGTACATGAAATTTGTACAGCATTATTGTTTAGAAGCCTTTTTTCAGATAAATAAAAAAAAATGTTCAAGAAAACACTCAAAAATACATTGATATTATTAAAGATTATTAAAGATCTTTGGATCGTTTTACAAAGTTTCTTACGTCTTCAATTTTATAGGTGACCATGGACTCCCTAGAAAATGCGGATTAATTGTGATATTGGTATGAAAAATAATTGGATAAAGCTTTAAAAGTCTACGACTACCTACCCACTCTACTCCCACCCAAACCCCACAATTTTTTTTCTTTTTTTTAAGTTTGGGAACTGATTTTTTTTTTTACTTGGGTGGACTCTCTCTGGAAAAGAAATTCTTGTATCCGCCCCTTTTGCTTTTTTTTTAAATTGATCATTTTGTTATCTCCAGATCTGTCTTTCAGAACATGTAAAATACAAATGACCTACCTGGTATGTGTCTCCTTTGTCAGACAATAAGAAGCGTTCGGGTGAGCTACATTCTGGTCTTTCAAACATTTGAGCACGATTAGTTAAGTCGTACTCCGGAGAGTCGATAAACTGGCTTCCTTCTATGTAATGGACCAATATGTCTTCAAACTGCACTTTCAACCTTTGGATAAGAAATTCTAATGATGAAAACATAAGAATTAAAATAATTTTGTTCATCTCTAAAACCTATGAAGTAGAAACTATATTGTTACATTCTAGTTTCAAAATTCTACATGTAAGTTGCTGAAATTTTACTTGCCTCAGTCAATATTTATATTTTCCTGGCCATTGACATATCAGTTTTAACACCAAAAAATATTATATGTTATACCTAACGAAAAAAGCACTATATATCTCCTTTCAAGATTTGGTTTTCATATGTTTCTGTAACACAGTCTGCATCAAAAATAGCATACCTGCCTTTTAATAAAATTGATGTTTTCTGCCCACATTGTGTTATTCCCTCCTTTGCGTATTCACCAAATTTTTCTAATTCATAAACATAACCAAGTTTCACAAGACAATCATATTCAGGCTTTCCCACTCTTAAAGGTTCAAACAATTTTTTGTAAAGATCATCCAAATTTTTATCTATCCTCGACGGCAACATACGGTATCCTATATAACAGAGATGAAAAAGGTTCACAAGAAAGAAGCCTGCGGACCATAAAAGGACGTCTGGCATACAAACTATCAGCCCAGACCACAAGGAAAAGAAAAGATAACCCGTTCCTAGGAATATTCGCAGACATAAGGGGTAATAACGAAATTTATTCGGAATCAGAAATGATAGGATGAGGCACATGTTGGCTAGCTGAAATAATGAATGCTGGGCCTCTCTCCAGTCTGCGCATGCGCCCTGCGTGGCGTCAGAGTGAGGTTCTGTACTGTCAGACTTGGACAATGTTTGATTCAAAGTCATTGTTTCCATACTAGGTTCATATATAAACTGTATAACCGTCTAGCCTGAAATAGAAAAATAATGACAGAAAAAAACCCACCATTCATAGCTTCTGTAGTATGAGAATTGCTTATCAACACGGATTTAATAGCACGGTACAGTCATGGTGAAATCATAAAAAATTCAATACACAATACATTTATTTTCAAACTGAAATTATAATATGTTGGCGGTGCGACCGTTAGGGCGAGCGCAGATATTTATCCAGTTTTCATTAAGATCGGACTCGTCAAGTCGCATGTGACATTTGGTGCGTATAATAGACTCTGACGTCACATGACGCCATTTGCATGTTGTTTTACCAAACCGAAGCTTGAACAGGGCTGATTTCATTCAGTTTATGATAATTTTTCTGCAATAAACAGACAAATTCATTAAATCAAGGCAAGTTTATTTTTTCTTTTAACTTTTTTCGTTATTCTCGCGAGAACGTGGCTTTGGGTTTTGTGTACAAAGCAATGCATTGTTGGTCAAATCACTTGGGAAAAAAAATGTGCAGTAGTCCGAATTTTCTCTTCGCGCAGGCGTTGTCGTTAGAGCTCGCAGTTATGAGCGTCGCTTGGCGACGCTCGCTATAATCGTTTCAATATGGGAGTATTATACTTCAAGTTCAATATCCCAAGACAATCCCTACTTCAAATAAAGATTTGCTTTTAATTTCTGTTTCCGTAAAAATATCTTCTGGATCTGAAATGAGCTTTCATATTTGATAAATTAAATCTTAAGTACATTTTTTAAGTGAATACCAACTGAAATATATGCCACTTTAAACAAGTAAATAATGTAGTTTAAAGTGTATACCTTTACATTCATTTACAACACAAGATCAATAAATAAATAGGTACATGTAACAATTCATAATTAGGATATGATAGCTTATCTTATCCACATACAGTAAAACTTGGTTATAGCGAAGTCATGGGGACCTGTGAATTTAATTTGCTATATCCGTAATTCGTTTTATCCATATAGCGAATTCGTATATCCATATATAGCGAATTCGTAATATGCATGTTTTCCTTCAAGAATTACTACCGAATATGTTAGAAAAGCAAATATCACAAAACATACCTTCGATAATTGAGGTTTTGCTATGAATTGAATTTTGTATACAAACATGACAAATGCTAAAAGAAAATAAAGTAAGTTTAATTTATCAAATTTCGAGATCTTTAAAAATTCGTTATAAAAGATGTAAAATTCATTATATTTAACCTCAACGGGACTCAAAACCAGTTCGCTATATCCGTAAATTCGTTATATCAGAGTTCGTTATAACCGTAAAATTTTATAAAGATTTGTTAAGAATTTTGCCGGGGACATGGAAAACCTTTGTTATATCCGTGAATTCGCTATATCCGTGTTCGTACTAAACGAGTTTTACTGTATATACTTCTCTGTTTTAAAAATCATTGATATATTGGCATGGTGTCAACATTAACATTCCAATATAAATAAGTTTCAGAGGAAAAAATTGAGAGTCAGGTTAAATTTGTAATTCCATTAGTTTCTTAAAAAAAAACTATTTTCTGTACAAGCGATGAAACTTCAATGTAAATTCATGATATTGATTGCACTAGCAGACACAATCAAAGATGATCTAATGAATGTACTTGTGACATATGAAATTATGTCTGAGTGTCAAGGACTGTATCGATACGTGCCCCATTTTATATGTTTACTTTAAAGACTATGATGATTAATGATCTATATTTGTTTTAAGTAAAATACACCTGATAGACTGTTCAACAAGAACAAAGAAATACGCATTGCATTCAAAAAGACTGCACAGTGCAAGCAAAATTACCCCATATTAACTAAAAAGAAAAATGAAGAATGAATATAATACCCATGTACGTTATGCGGTAAGAGCTGATTGGGATAGCTGTTGTAATATATTAAGGGGTTACATTTTGGTTACCATTAACTTTATTTTCTATTTTTTAATTAATAAGTGTAAAAATGTATTTTTGATGACCTTCAAAAAAGCATGATTTAAATTATAATGTAAGAGAGAGAGAGAGAGAATCAAGTATCACCAGGAAATGCAAGATAAATTAAATAACCTTAGTACAAGTAACCACAAGAACTGAAGTAAAACCGACTGGCGACTGATTCATTTTTTATGATTAGCTTGGGTGGGACTATTTCATGTTATGTAAAGTTGTACATGCCTTTATGGATTTTGCAAAAGCTATTAACCTTTTTCCTATTGTCTTCCCTTGGGATAAATATTCTCAATATTGTTGTTACTCTGTAATAATAACATCACGCCTAGGCGTTTTCTGATACAATGTACGTGTGTAATAACGTAGAAGAACGGATTGATAATGCCGTTTATGGATTAAATTTGCTAATTTCAATTGAGTTTACCTGTGATGCAGGAGATGAGAGTTTATGTATTTTTGAATAGCTTTGTCGATGAAACATATGAAGATAAAGAACGGTATTCAAGATCAAAAGTCCATAAAACAATAAAAAATGGGAGCAGAGCAAACAAGGACCTCCAAAACATCAGAGGTGGGATCAGGTGCCATGGAGGAGTGAGCATCCCCTGCCGATCGGTCACACCCGCCGTGTGCTCCTTGTCTTGATCGGGAAATAACGGAAAAATCCACCGTTAATTCGATTTTACTTTTCAATATTTTAATGGAAGCATTTATAGAACGTCTAACACACTTTTTGGTATTTTTTAATTGAACCAGGATTAAATATCTTTCTTTATGTAGATGCACTTACATGTATCCCATACCCCCAAACTGCCAAAGCGAAAACTTTTTCAGACTCTCTATAACATGGAAAAGAATTCTTGTATAATATGAATTCAAATACCAGTTTTTATTAAATGATTATACAGAGTGTATCTGCATTGACTATTTTATCAAGTCTCCTTGTACAGATACATACTTATGTGCTTTAATTACGACAGAACTACATTGTTATGCAAACAGAACCCATTCCAGATACATAAAACAGTATGTTCATTCGTGACTCAATAGAGTCTTAAGCGATCTTATCTTAGCAAACGACTTTATGAAGTACTTTAGATACGATGAGGAGGGATTGCTGTCAGTTAATAGATACTCATTTCCATTTTGTCAATTCTTCTAGAGTTCGTCTGACCTATGTTGACCCAGAAGAGGGAAATTAAATGGATTGTTATGTGGGTTATTGCATATATAAACCCACCTCTCAAATTAGCACAGACGAATAAAATCAGATGGGAGTTTTTGTATTTAGGAATGACAACATTGAGTAATGTAGGGTTCAAGAAGTAAGCATGCATGAAAGTTCCTGTAGACCAGCATTGTTATTTTACACAGGGGATCTTCCCTCCTTCTAGCAATCTAATCCCACCTCTGAAATTTTAGTGGTCCATGTTTATGCACTAACCGTGTTGTTCGAAGTGTTAATGAACAGTTAAAAAAAAGTAAAAAGTCATTGATTACAAGTTCTATGAACAATACTTATTTATGAATTAGGACGCCCATAAACTTTAGAGTGCAGGTTCTTTTGAAAAGGGAACATTCCTATTCTACAAGGGTCATTCGAAAGTCATATTATATCCAAATTTGGTACACATATTTTAATAACAAATTCAAATAATTTGAGTAATAAAATGGAATATATCTTCATATTTATAACAATTACCAAAGATTTAGAATAGCAAAAATGGGGTCACGGAGCACAGTCAAAATTGAGTAATTTTCACTATATAGTATTTATATCCATACCTCTAATGAATGGAACTGAAACGAAATAAAATTTACATATTTAAATCAAGTATTGCTGTATTAGTTAAAATGATATCAGGTTATAAAATATGTCGCTCCGTTTAAAAGATATTAATTTCTAAATACATATGGACTTGATTATAAAAGGCAAAAAAACAATGATGTTGAAGGACGTCACGGAGCAGCAAGTAGCAAAAAATTGTGTTTTGCATTAGGGAAACTTTTTTAAAATACTTAAAAAACTCGGTAGAAACCAGGATCTGTCTGAAATATAAGCCCTGTATTAATATTTGTATAAATTGGAAAATACAATTTTTGAGTGGTAGCGAGTTTGAATCAGACGATGGATTGTCTGCAAAGAAACGGGTTATAGTTAAAAAATATTGTAAAAAGAATTTGGAACGTCATTAAACGTAATGTGCGCCTCACTGTTTCAGAATTAATAGAATTACATGGCAAACTAGAGAATTTGAAAACACCTACAATCTAATTCAAGCTGTATTTGCACAATTTTTATCAAACTAGGTGTTAAGTGTTATGGAGACGTTTTTTATAAACAAAGAAGATGTTACAAATCGTGTATGAAATTAAAAAGCCGAGTATAATTTTGAGAAACTTTCTCAACATTGTTTTTGACGTTACAATGTTGGTTAACCGTGCTCCGTGTTAACAAAACATGGTGTTTTAAAATTTGTCTAACATGAGTTCTATTTCATCAAAAGGAACGAAACTTCACACTTTGACAAAATAAATGTTTTTGTTTAAGAACATGTGTTGAGCTATAATAATGTAATAAAAATGTGACGATGAGGAACATTTTCTACTTATTTTTTGAGTGACCCTCGTATATGTTCTGGCTTGTTCTTATCCTCATAAATCACGTGTCATATACATGTGGACTGTTGTTCATGCCTTGCTAAATAATGTCCCCTTTTGAAAACGTAGTGGAGAAAGGTGTTTTATGTAGACTTTATTGATTGTAACATTAGCTGATTTTTAGAGCAATCCCTGTTTGTTAACTTTTCTTAGTTCTTCTTTTTAAAACAAGTTCTTCCTAAGTTCAAATACAAAATAAATCTATTGAGTGCTTAAATCAAAAATCTTACAGTAGTATTCTTTAATGTCAGCAAATTACAAGTTTTGCGATTGATGCATTGACCTTTTTGCAAGTTCAGCGCATGGTTAAATCGAATGCTGATTAGCGTCTTTCATACAAATGTTAGTACATGTATATTATCCCCCCCCCCCCTATTTGCTTAGTGTTAATTTTCGTTTAGCGGATCATGTCAGGAGCACAAGGCAGGTATGACATTTCGATAGTAAAGCTTAATCCTCCAATACATCCCATTTTGCTTAGTTTTAAAAAATCCTTGTTCCTTCTGTATTTGATAATCACATAATCCAAAGAAAAGTTTTTAAAAAGCTGCAAGAATTTTTTTGTGTATTTAAGTTGTATATTTTTCTCTTTAGCATGTGTTTGTAGCTTAATAAATGCATTTTGTTCAGCGATACATATTTTGAAAGATATTATTTTTTAACCAATTTCCTGCTCAGCTGGTGGCAAAAAATTATTCAATGCGTAAATAAATGATGAAATAATTTGTATTTTCATGTGCCAGGATCAAGAGATCGGGAGATCATATCATTTTGTACATGTCCTGTCTGTCTGTCTGTTTGTCTGTCAACTTTAACCTTGTCATAACATTTGAACCATGAGAAATAGATAACTCATGTTTAGTATGCATACTCCATTAATTAACCTCCTTCTAAGGTCTCTAAGTTCAATGATCTTTTGAGCTTGAAAGTGACCTTTATGCTTCAAAAAACCTTTTTGAACCCTCACCACAACTTTGAACCAACAGAGATAGATACCTGATCTTTAGTATACATACTCCTCTAATTAAGACCTTACAAATGACACAAAGGTCAAAACCCTTGACCTTTGTTGTAACGTATATACTAAAAATAGTTTTTTCGAACTTTTTGCCGCTGGGTTCAGTGTTTCACAAACATCGCTTGTTGTTACATATGAACATTTTTTAATTCATCATGATTAGAGATCTGATGGATGTGAGAAGGAGATTCATTGCTTGATATGAAAACTTTTCATGATTCCTTACAGTTATTATTATAAGCAGCGGCACAATATAAGCCGTGCTATTTAAGGATCCTGAAAAAGCAGGCCATTCCGTGACTGCTGTATTTACCAGCACTATCAAAAGGATTCACAGCTTGGATTGTTTGGATTAAATTCCTATACTAGAAGATTGATCTCATCGATCATAAATATTGTAATTCAGTTAATTCTAAAAAAAAATGATTATTAATATTTTCATGATATTGATTAAAAAGAAAAAAAAACTTTTGGCCTTATAATATTTTATTAATTCATATTAGTTTCACAAGACACAAAATTTTATTAGATTCATATAAATGGGTAAATAGTTTGTTCCATGTAACATATGGTAGATTATGTTTTATGTAACATATGGTATATTAAATTGAAAGCCATTTTTTCTTCTTCATAGAAAGGCAATTATCTGAATAAATTACAAAAAAATTATATTTGATACTGCATATAGGGTTAAAATATTCGTATATTACGTTTAACAAATGGAAATATAGAAACCTAATGCTTTACTTAAAATAAAATGAAGCGTCTTGCATAGTGGCTGTCACAAAAAGAAAATACGTTTAACTTTTCCTTGCACAAGTTAATGATGTCGTATAAAAGGCTAATCCTCAATGCATTTTATTAAGGATAACCTTCATGATTAAATCTTAACCGTTTGAGACAAAACATCTGCATACACAATTCTACGTAATATTCATTTTATCCATTTTGGCAAAAAATAGCTTTCCAAGAATATACAGTTTTCATACACGAGCACAAAGTTTAATAATTCCAACACACCGTACAATAAAATTACTAGACATGCAAACATTTTACAAAATCCCTGAGCTTATTTTGCTTAAATTGGGAAAAAAGTTATCATCTAATGGGATTGGAATACTGCCTTTAATGCACACAAATGTTACACTCAGGCATGCATTTTTGTAATAAAATCCTGATGCAACCTTTCTTAAAGTCATAAGCTATCTGACTTTTAACATATTTAGTGCATATCCATTAACTAGACAGTGTCTTTTCCACAGTTTCACCTTTTCCATTTCATAACAAGTACCAAATGGTGGGTGTGACTGGACGGCAGGGAATGCTCACTTCGCCGTGGTCTCTTTTCTCACCTCTGATATTTATGAGGTCAGTTCTGTGTTTGCTCTGCTCCTGATTTGCTTTCTTTGAATGGTCTTTAATGTTGTATTTTGTGTTTCATCTTCATAATTTATATGTACTAAATGTATTTGTCATAATTCAAAATGAATATTAAAAAAACAGGCTGATTGCTTGTTTATACCTTAAAAGATATATTAATGTTTTTAAAAAAAATATACAAAAGAAGACATTTAGATGATTCGACGACTTATCCGACGTTTTTTATTTCCATTTGTATGTCGATACGATATATCCCGGCGAGTTTGAAATAAAAGATACCATAGAGTCTGACATATCTATTTCATGATTGGAACTTTTACTAGAAAAAGACATTCATGGTTATTTAACAACAAAGCTTTAATATCAACGTAATTACTTTAACTTTTCAATGGTCTACATGCACTTCCTTGCTAATGCAGGAAAATACTCTTCGCACATGCATATAGAGTTTATATATCTCAGTTGATTAGATACGGAAGAGCATGTTCTACCTATAAATAATTTTAAAAACGATGAAAATTATTGATAATTAGTTGATGAAGCAAGAATATAAGAAATCTCGTTACGATGACCTACTGAGCAAAAAAACATATTTAATGGGTTAAATGCTGACCGACTTTTTTCATACTGATCGTTAGGCCATAATTTACACAGTCACTGAGTAGTTGTCGACGGTTTTCCCGTTATTTCTCGACAATTTCAAGGAAGGAATAGAGTACATTATCCCCACATATATTGCTTATTTATATAGACTTATTTTTCTTATCTCCAAATTTAACACAAATTTAAAGAAGCATAAGGAGGGTATGACTTTTCGACCGGGGATTCTTACTTTTAAATGACACTTGGTCCCATCTCTTATCATTTTTAAACGGTGTGTTTGATTCTGCTCCCAATTTGTACTGACTCAATTTACCATTTTGCTTAATTACTCTTCGTAATTTTTATCCTTTATTATTTCTAATTGATACAAACTGTGACATATTTAATGATTACTTTTCAAATCAGTTTTATGAATAGTGAAACTCTTACCTTCTGATGACAGCTGGCTTATTATTGTATCTGGGCGCCCTATCCTTCCAGCGGAACACGACAGAAATCAATAGCTGTAGACGGCGGCTGTAGCAGATGATTCAAGTGCTTGTTAGCCTTTATCAAGACTCATTTAGGTGGGCGTGACTCTTTGATTTCACCTGTATCGTGGATAATTGCTGATGCTTGTGCTAATCATAATTGTATCTGTTGTGTAATGATTATGATTGCACTATTCTTTCAGTCAGATTGACCTTCAAACTATACATGTAGCTGTATATTTATTTTTGCAGTAACGTTTTACATTATCAATACATACAAGTACTAGGTATTTGAAAACAAGCATCCAGTTACTTAGTTAAAAAGATGGTAACTGGTTAAAATTCAGCAGTTTAAATTCATTCGTCTATAAAAAAATAGAATATGTGAATAACAAAAATGTCTTAACTTGAACGCAATTATCAGAGAATTCAATTAAAAAACAAAATGTTTAATGTTGTATTTTTACCAATGCGTATAATCTGACACTGAGATACATGTAGCGTGGGTTTCAGATTTTTATCGTATTGATAATTACTCCCTTAGTGATGTGCCATATATTTTTGTTCGCTTATTAAAAGAAATGAATGTTATATTGTCTTCAACATATGTAATCATTTAAATGTAAGCAGCTCATTTTGTTCTTGTTTTCTTGAAAATATCTTAAGTGAAAAAAAGGAAACAACCGAATAATCGGACGGAACGTATTAATGTTAATCAGTTATTTTTCTGTACTTAATCGTTATACATGAACTGCATACGCTTTATTTTATCAATTCACAGTGATCGTAAAAACATATACAACAAGAGGGAAAACTTAAAGAGTTTATTTTTGCAACCTATAACTTTTTTTGTCAACAAGATGTTTCTTTTTAATACAAAAGTACCAATTCCGTTTTAATGCATATTAAGCATCTGTCACGGACTTTATTTTCCCTGCCTTGAATGAATTAATCATATAAAAATCAACCGGTGTCGTTTAATGTTCAGGATATGAAAAACCTTGAAAGAAGGAATGTAAAAGAGGGACTAGGGAAATTAATTGTCAGGAAATTTATACTTCCTTTTAATGTTCATCTTTTACTGCATCTGGTTGATGAGATAATAAAACGATTATGTCAAGATTATCATCAAGCAGAATAAAACTTTATTGGCATACTTTTGATTATATTCCGCACAATCTGTTCTTTTCTTCATCTTTTTATCTATTCTGGTTAACAAATACCATTGTTCGATAAATATTTGTAGTCTTTCAATGCATTAATCGAAATGCCCTCTTTAATTCTCGATGAAACAGATTTATGAGGGGAATGTATTTTTCAATCATCAAATCATTATAAAATTAATTCTCATGACACTCACGAGCAATATGCCGTTATGAATCGAATTGTAATTTTTAGGATCCACAGTCTCGTCTACTCTACGAAATAAATAACGTTGATTTAGAGGGCGGATTTATTTTCATAGATATAATTTCTGGAATACTAGAGGTATAATAGATATTAATATTAAACTTACAAAAAAGATACATTCACCGCTGGGAAAATGTTTAGTTTAAAAATTGTAAAAGGATCAAACAGTAAACGTTAAAATCCTCAACGTTCTTTCAACTTCAACGTTGAAAATCTGTGGCATTTTCATCGTTGTTTAAACTTTGAAAAGGGTTGAGATTTTAACATTGAAACCACAACGTTGAAACAACGTTGAAAACTAGTTGATCAACGTTTTAACTTAAATTCCAGCTATTTTCAAAGTTGAAACAACGTTGTGTGCATGCTGGGATACTGTTCACAACTAAGTCACGTTGCCCTGTTATTTTTAAATCCTTCTCTTATTTTCTCACAGACTTAACGTTATATCAACTAATTATTCCATGTTAGATTAATTATTTGAAAGCTTCCAACGTAAATTTTATGTTTATAAAAATGATGATTTGAAAACTATGAAAATCAGAAAGTCCATTTTCGTTTTAATTTCTATGCGATATTTGACATTTTCTGCAATTATCTTTTTCATTACTTCAAAATAAGCATACTGAATAAAGAATAACACCCGTAGTGTGATTTCATTTCTCTCCGTCATATAATTAAAAGATTGTTAGTTTAGGTTTAGTCGGATAGATTTCATTGTGTTTCAAAATGTATTTCACAGTGTATTTCAGAGTGAATTTCCCAGTAGTTAGACGTGGTGAGTGGTTCTTTGGCTGAGACTGTGTTAACCGAGAGGTCCCGAGTCGCAGTAGGTGCTCAATGTCCGTAGGTCGAGTATAGGACAAAAGAACTGCGAACGATAGTATTGTTCTCACGCCTACCTCCAAGTCAATTTTCAAAAGTTAACATATTCGATGAATTTTTAATATTTTTCATAGCTTATTATGTGGATTTTCATTACACATTACTTATTTGGGAAAACAAAGAGAGATAACTCTAAAATTTTGGTAAAACTTGTGTTTTTCACTAAAAAATCAACGGAAAACGGAAAATATTTTAAAAACATCTGGCCCCACCCGTGTCTCAAAAATTCCTTTTTACAGGTAATATTGAATGTTATTTCACAAATTCATACCAAAGCTTTCTGTGTGACACTGGGGGGAACATATGTTTATTGACAAAAAACGATAAAAATGCTTATTTTCCACCAATTTTAAAGCGATATACAACTGAAACATTATATTTTATTGAAATATTTATGTTTTATTTATTTGCCTAAAACATAAGAAAAGATATAAGGAACATTTAATCACATCCAAGACTATTTAAAAATACGGTGATGCTTGAAACTCCGATTTCAATGGAAAATATCGTATACCCCCCTTTTTTCAAGAGCTGGAATTATGGATAATTTACTGTTTAGCGCTGGTATTAAGACGATTTATCAATTACCATTGAACTGTTCTTTGTATTAAACAAAGATTTTATGGCCAAATTGTTATTCATGTTGAATTAAATGGTTCCAAAATGTAGGGGGGAATCGAGAGTTAGCGTGCGTGTTTCTTTACAGCTCTCCACTGGCAAGTTGTGGTGTTTACATACGATTGAAAAATGCTCGAGAAGGACTTTAAACAACATACAAACAAATAAATAAAATATCTTTTGAACTGAACACCAGTTCCGTTTTCTATTAATGACAAACTTAATCAATGCAGTATACCTCAACAATCAAAACAAGTTTAATAAATACATTCTGACATATGCCAATAAACACGTCTCAGAGTAAACAGAATTTAGAGCAATTAGTCTGGCACATTATTTGTCGCATTGTTTTCATATCAATAAATTATATGAATTCCGGGAATTTTATATTTTGTGTTGGACATTAGGCATTTCACAATGATTGAAACGAATATGACAAAGATTTAATCATTCCAGAGAATTGTGGGATTGCATAGTGGTAGAGTGACTTTACTAATTAGTTATAAAGCAGCTGTTAAGTGTCCCCTACTGTACAATGAAAGATAATCGATGGGTTGAATAGACGATATTGTTTAACGTTTCTCTCCATATTTTTTCATTCATGTGGAGAAGCCACTACTTGCATGGTTATATTGCTGTGTCATCCCAAAGACCGGCCTCCACATCCAACTTCGAACCCTCGATGTAAGGATTAAATCCTTACTTTGCAACTCTAGAGCACACGCTCTTATAACTGCTCCATGCGGGCGGCCACCATGTGTGATGTACAAAACATAGGCGTCGGAAGCAAATTGAAAGGGGGGGGGGGGGGGGCTAAACCTACAAAATAAAGATGGACTCCAATTTCCAATGCCTATGTTATGTACATCTGCAAAAAAAGAGGTGGCCAAGCCCCCCCCCCCCCCCCCCCCCCAAGCATCTTGGTTCCAACGCCTATGCAAAAGCACTCAGTAAGAGAGAGAGATAGAGAGAGAAAAAAAATTCCAATAAAGAGATATAAATATTTTTATTACAGTTAAATTCTTAATCTTTATTACAGTTAAATTCTTAATCAAAGTGGCAATTATCTTGACTAGACACATTGGATTCTGGAATTTTTCATCAAAAAGCAGTGCTCGATCATGTTTTTTCAGCAAATCTTTTACTCTGATGATCCTTTACTCCATTCAGTAGTTCGGTTTTCTCAGTAACATCTGTTTGCCCTTGAAAACAATTGAAATTAAAAAAAAAATTACCCCACAATGAAGAACTATATATTTTTCGACAATTTCTTGTCAAGTCCATTTAGTTTTGGTTTTGAGCGTATTTAGCCAAAAATGAAGCCTCAAAATTAGCCACATGTACTGGATATCATGTTTAAAAAGTCTAGTAAATTTCATACACAAAGAACATAGAGTAAGAAGGTAAGATTTCGAATAAGCAAAATACACATGACTAAGGAAATGCATTATTTACAAGTATGGTTACATGTCATCATGCTATGAATGTAAGTGCATATAATTCAAGCTCTTGTGACATAAAATCAAACATGATAGATTGAAAGATTCATACGACGTCACCATTTAAGTTTTCCAAGTAAAAATATTCTGATATTAGAAAATATATGAATTTAACTACTTGGGAATTTTCTATTTATAAGTGTATATGTGTCTTTACAGTGTTTGCACACCTTCAAAATGTCATGCTTTTGTAATTTCTAAACCCAACACTCACCCTTGACATAAAAGAGTTTGAATAAAATTCGGGCCATTGGTTACACGACGTAATGTGCAAATATAAGCAAACCAATAAGAATATATTTTTAAAATCAATTGCTTTTAAATGGTCTTTCCCCACAGCATTTTTTTATGATTGTAAGAATGACTAAACGCCATTAAAGGTCCAAAAGTCGAAGGTCAACATCAAACATAAAATCATAAATTCTGTGTTTGTTTAAGATTTCATTTTCGGGCGATATCCAAAGAAGCTTTTAAGCTCTTGATATAAAAAATTCTATACTATTACTCCTTATAGCCCTTCTTAAAGTATCCTCCTTTGACATCCCCTTAGATCTGTGGATACTCTTCCTTTTTTCTTACGCATGATCCACATGTTCTCTGAATTAGCTTTTTTTTTTACTTGACTTTTTATTTAATTGTAATTAGCTATTACTATTATGAATTTTACTTTCATCCCTTTAAAATTATGTTTTATTAAAATTCTAAAGCATTATGGCATTGAGACTGTCAAAGTGCAATAAAAAAAAATATGAATTTCTCGGTCGTATTTTATTACATCTATACCAGATCAAAGAATCTTTTTTCAGCTGATAATTAAAGAACTACCGTCTAGTCTACATTTTTAATTTCTAAATGCATTATTACTCATGCAGACGATCTAGGCTTTAAAATGCAATGTTATCTAAGATTTACAATTAAATGTGTCATACTTAAAGGCATAGGATATCCGTAATTGTTTCATATTTTACAGTTCATTTGATTCTAATGAATATTATTCTTCTGCAAAACAGACCATAAGTAAAATATGCAACAAAAAAAAAAGAAAGAAATACGATATAACAGGCATTTACCTTATATACTGCACACCATTTTATTTTTAATACTGTGAAATCATATTTTTTCCCGGGGGTTTAATTTTCATGGCTTTCAAGGTATTAATGTCCACCATGAAATGTGATTTTTCACAAACAATTTTTTAACAAGAAATCAAATTCCCATGAACCAATGTATTTTCCTTAAACCATGAAAATCTGACACCTTGAACATATGTGATTTTACAGTATTCTGAATACCTTGAATATATGTGATTCACCTCCCCTCCCCCAGACACTTCCTCTCTCTTCTCCATTCCATTCTCCTCACTCTCACTTTTCAACACCTACGTGTGTCTTATATTCCGTTTTTATCTATATTAATAATCTATATTAATACCTTCTGAAGATTCTTCCCGCTCAATATGTCCCAGTGTGTCCCCAAGCTTTGTCCCATACAGAGAAGTTTTCCGTTCTATGCCCTTTTCAATGACGTCATCATGACAGTGCCGCCCTCGCGCCACAGCTGAGATACTCGGAAGTCGTATGTCCATTCGGGATCCTTTATTCTTGACAAGCTATATAATTGAAAAGGACAATTTGATACATGTATTTTCCTTCTTGTAAACACACTAAAAATCATCCTATTTGTACTTCTTTTATTATCATCAAATCTTCAAATCGGGTTTTTTTACGATGGAATAAAAAAAAACATGAAATAAAACTTTAATGTTACCTTGTCATTAATGGAGTATAACTTGTTGGTGATATCTCTTCCCAAGACCGCCCTCAAAAGGCTAGCAAGGTAAGGCTCCTTAATCAACAGGTACTCCAAACCGCTCCGCTGCCAGAATATGTACCGACATGTCGAAACAGCAACTATTGACACCTAAAAGACCAAAATGTTTAGAATACAGTTAAAGTATTTCATTGAGTGAGTTAGCAAGATTCCAGTTCCCCAAGACCACGAATATTTCCCAAGGTTCAATCACCGATGGAAATAGTCCTGATCGAGGGATATTCCCTCAATGATGTACTATAACTGTTTTTTTTTTAACCGATACAAATTTGAATTGTAAAGATCACCTTTAACAAAATAATCATTCACAGATTAACTTATCATTATTCGTCGCAAATAGCAAATATGAAGACAGACATTACCTAATTCTAATGCAATCATTGCATGTTGCTTGTTGTCTACGTCTTATTTTGTTGCGTTTTCTTATGTGAAATACGTCACGAAGCATTGTGTTTTTGCCTCGCTCTATTATAACACCACAATGAGAATCTATATCCGCGAATTAGCATGATTAGCCTTCGGCCGAGGGATAAGCTCATAAACAAAACTAACGCACAGGGATAGGCCGATTCACAGCGATTTCTAGGGAACTGTTTAGATCTAATGACTTAATTTTAAATAGGGAAAATCATTAGAGGTATAATGATAATAATCTATTTAAAAAGATTTTACGATTTATATGGAATTATTCACGTTTTGTTCTCCATGTGATTTTGCAAAGGTAAAAATGTAACAACATGCCAAAATAGACATGATTGAATCCAGACAAAGCAAAGTTCTGAACATCTGTTCAAAAAATAAATCATAAGAGAAAAAAAGATATGGATAATCTAGATATCTTGAAAGAGATTTAAAAATTTACCATCTTCTAATTTCATGCTTTATTCATGTTTTTAGGTTCAATGGATACATTGACAATAAATAGAACATAACATCAGTCCACGAAAAGAGACTATGTATTTTTCATATTTGTAATGATGTAAATTGCAACATAAATGTATCCTAAGTGAACATGCAGATGCTGATATCAATAAACTAGGAGAGATTAGAAGGCCTGGAAGTGGCGCTAATAAGAAATCGATATAAGCGGCTAAGTTGATGATCTCTCCGGTGCTAATGGCATATTCTCAGGATATTGTTAGCGTGCCGTTTGTCTAGCCTTTAATGTATTGGTTTCGTCTGTGTATTTGACACAACACGATATTCAAATACGATTAACCAAATTTAGCATCTAGAGAATCGGTAATGCTCGATGATTTAGAGCAACTTGCTCATTTTATTGTATTTGAATAGATGTTCGAATTTGTAACCTTTTATTTTTGTCACGTATTACAGTAAATGAATGAAACAAAACAAGAAATGATAAAAATAATCCTTTTATAATGCAATAAATAGAAAATTGTCAAACAAGAAAAATATAGATGTGGGATCTAGAATTTTGCTTTACCTATTAAATATCAATACAAAAATATTTATCCAATGTAAAATCTTAAAAGAAGTCATTTTAAAAAGAAACGAAGGATTATCAAAACGTTTTTGAACGTGTTAAATAAATTCAATAAAATAACCAAAATTATATTTCAGTGTTCATTATTCTTTTTAAGTATTTCTCTGATTTTAATGTACAGTGGATGCAACGTTATTGTTGACAAACCAATCGTGTAGAATCGTTCGTGTATCGTGCGTGATCGTTCGTGTCGCGTGCAAAATCGTGCGTGTATCAAACTCAATCGTTTGCGGTTTTAATCGTGCGAGATCGTGCGTTTCGAATCGTGTAAATTTCGTTTTGTAAGTTTTTATCGGAATGTTATTTGTAAAATTAGCATTTCCCCTTTTTTTTTTTTTATTTAAATCCAAATAAAATGTACATAATTGAATGCAGAACGAACTAATTATAGCTCGTAAACAAGCAATATATTAGGTCGTACAATATTAAGTTCTCGTCAAATGGCGTGATCAATGTTGTGATTAACAGTACTTGGATCATCAACGCTTTTTTAAATCTGATTTTCATTATTATTTACTGCTAATTGTGGTCAAAATAATTTTGAAATCAATCCATCAAAAATAAATATATTTACAAATTAATAAACATTTCCTCAACGCTTACATAAATATTTAGTCGACGAATATACATGCACACGACATGATTTTTGGGGGTTTTGATTATATGTGTTTATCACTTGAGCTTTTTAATTAATTAATTTTTAGATTTCTGCAAATAAAAAGGTTAAATAAGTCACTGTAGCAAGTTCATTTTTAGAGATTAACAAACATTGAATCAATGGAAACATACGGATATAATTTGTAATTTCAGTCATTCCATGCTGCCATTTTTTTTTTCAATCGTATCCCCATTTCTGCATATCATGAAATCCAATTCAATCAATTATACGACCCACATACATGTACATCTTCTGATAGAACAAAAAATCCATACGTTTTTTGGTCGGAGAATTATCTTAATAATTATTTATAATCTTAAATATTAAGTCTAACATGTATTAAGCTACAGAGATATCCATTTCCGTTTATTTTTTGAAAGTCTATGAAATAATATTGATAATTCTTTGAAATATTAAATTAGTATTAGGCCGTATTTCGTTTTGAAAATATCGATTCCTAAATATTTTGAACTATTTTGAGTGAAGAATCGTGCGTTTGTGTTAGCAATCGTGTGCGTGAAGGATCGTTCGTGTAACAGGTTTAATCGTGCGTTAATCGTGCGGAATCGTTCTTGTAACGTGATTGTTCGTGTATGTTGCAGCCACTGTACACCTGCATACGTTCTGGCCACGCGCGAATCAACTGATCCAAGCGGTCACGTAACATGTTGCCAGAAATGATCACATCTTAGAAATAGGATCAGTGGATAAGCATGTCCTTTCCCAGAAAGAGCACGATGACCAACACAATCAGAGTAAATTCTGTCGTAGGATCAGCTTTTATTAAATATGATTATAGATCATACCTAATGTGTTAAAATCTATAGTAAACCAAATATTAGGTATTGAAAAATTGTATAAATCTTACGATAATCATTTTTTTTTCTAGCTGTCTTTGGCGATCTTTCATTACAAATTGCTCAACTAAGAACACATCTCCTTCTCTGCATGCTTTCGCTGGGCGAATGTCAATTAAACCATCCTCCTTCCTCAAAACAGCCTATCCAGTTAATAATCGAATGCTTTGGTAAGTCTTTTATCCTCATAATTCTTGTACAAATTATTATATGCTACTGAAAAGGTATTCCCAAATTATTGATTAAACTTTGCAGCCGTTCGATGCTCAAGTAAGAATGTGTCAACCATTTTTTTTGTCATATATCATCTACTTGTTGACTTCATTGTTATGTATTAACGCAAAATTCATGTAGTGAAACGCATGTTAACGGCGAACACAGTTAATAAATGTATGATATCAAAGATTCTTTGGAAATCTCATTGATATTTATTCATTGGTATGAGAAGATTTGCGGATAAGAGGTGGGTATTCCAAAGCGTAACAGACGACGGACGTACAGACAGCCAGACGGACATACCTATACAATTTCTATATACCCTCCCGATTTTTCAAGCGGTGGGTATAAATATACAAGAAATGTTGATTTCTACAATGTTTAGCATGAACATCAACAGCGACTATAACGTTATCTTTCTTATGAGTCATACTACACTTGTCCTGCTTCACTTTAAGTTTGAAACGTGATGGTTGGTTGATTGAATATTGTTTACGTGTTATTCATTTTTTTACTTCTCTCTAGATAATACTTTGCCATACACCCACTGAGGCTTCCAATTGTGACTTTTTGACTCTTATATACTTTGAATTCTCCATAATGTCAACGTCTACCGTCACATGAAATCTCTGTTTTGAATGTATCAAATGCTGACTGACGTTTTTCATTGTTATTGTTAATCCATTATTTATACACTGATTTGACGACAGATTTTTCCGTCATTTCCCGATCATGACAAGGAACACACAGCGCGTGTGACCGGCCGGCAGGGGATGCCTCCTCCATGACGCCTGATCCGACCTCTGATGTGTTGGAGGTACATGTATGCGTATCTCTCTTATTCTGTTTTGTCTTGTTTTATGGACGTTTGATCTTGAATACTGTTCATTATCTAGAATGTTTCCTGAAAGATCCTTGTAGTCTTGACCAATGTTTACATACCCCGTTTAATGCGATAAATAGAAATTAATCACCCTACCCCAAACCGAATTAAAAACCAAATCCCAACTATTTCACTGCATTCAATCAAGATTTATAACGTGGTATGATATGCAATTGTTTTATAGTATCTAAATGTTTTTCTATCAATTCACACGGTTATCGGCGAGGGACCGGTCAATAGGTGTGCCTCCCCATCCTTGACACCTGATTCTTATTCGTTTCCAACCCCTTATTTAGTTAATGATTGTGTAATATTTAAATGCAAAAAATAAAACCAGAGCATGGTTGCTTGCCACAGGATCGTAATTCCTTTAGTTTCACAAAACCTCCCTAATTATGACATCGCAAATAAATTACGCAGTGTTATAAAGATTATTGAAACATGGAGATAATTTTCCACAAACACGACGGCGTCATTAACGAAATTGCTTGGCAGATAATTAACTTTTCAAAAAATACAAATTCTTCCCAATGGATCAGAGATTGATGAAATAGGAGTATCATCAGTCTCATTAGAAATACTAATTTCGGAAGTTCTATGGTCGATGCAATGACCTTGTCAGCAAATAAGATTGAATTCACTTCTAAATTATAGATTTATGAGTTATGAACGGGCGAAGTCCGTTATGCATAAAATATCCCATGTTTCCCACAATCGTTGATGTCCCTGGCGTACTATACTAACTAGACAGTATTTCCATTTTATTGTGAAATAAAATTGTAGATTAAGACTTTCAAAATGTAGACATTGATTTAAATTACAAGAGGACTCCAATGGCATTTTCAAAAGTTCCGCCCACTGACGTCAAACATACATGCATATTTGGCCTCCTTAGCGTCAGACACAGAGACAGATGCACACGAGCTTTGCATGCATATTAGGTCTTCTTAGCTTCTGGCTTATCGACCTGCCTAATTTACCGTGTATCCGGTTTTTTTCGCGATGATCTATTTTTCGCATTTTTTTTCGATCATTTTTGATTTGCAAAATATAAATCACACAGAAATTATGTCAGCTATAATGTGACATAAAAATATTACCATTTTAAACCAAAAAAAATCTTCAAACATAAAAAATAATTACGCGAAATATAAACTGTACTAATCTACCCCTTTTTCGCAAAATTTCTAACACGCCAAAAAAAATAATATACGGTACATTCCGGCAAAATTATTAAGAAATTAACCCCTCTATTTTCAAAGAGTTATCAATGAGAGAAAATTTAGAATTGGAAATATATTGTGTTCAGTTTAGCAGACGTTAAGAGATATTTTTATTTGTTCTTCTTTCTTGTTGCTTGGAAGTGTGTTTGATGCAAATGACGCTGTTGAGATTTAGAATATCATATTATAAATCTATTTTTATTATAACCAAATCGATAGATTCGGGGTATATATTGTTTTTTGCTGTCTGTTTGTTTTTCTGTCTGTTTGTCTGTTTATCTATTTGTCTGTGTTTTTATCTGTTGTCAACTTTAACCTTCGCCACAACTTTTGAACTGTGAGAGATAGAGACTTCATATTTGATATATGTGTATGCGTGCGCCAAAATTTCAGCACTTTCAACTGATACCAAAGTAAATGACCTTGTGACCCTGACTATGAACTTTTTACTAGAAAAAAGTTTTTTTCGAATTTTCGGCGTAATGTTTGATTGATTAATTGATTATATATTGTTTAACACCCCTCTCGAGATTTTCACTCAAATGGGGACGCCACGACTTGCCTGTATAGAGCTTCAGATTTTGTCTTATACTGGGTACTCAGGGCCATTAAGCAGGGAGGAATTTTTTTCTTGCCAGCATCTACTGCAACACGGGACTTTGGTTTATAAAGTCTCATCCGAAAAACGGGTCTGCACGTCCCACAGTGGGATTCGAACCCGCAAGGAAAGGATTGACTCCTTAGTTCGGGACTCTATAGCAGACGCTCTAACCACTCTGCCTAGCGGGTGACACTATAACGCTTGAACCATATGAGATAGCGACTTCATATTTGGCATGCATACTCCACTAGAGAAGCATTTTCAACTGGCATCAAGGTCAGAAAATAGTAAAAAAAAAAAATACTAAGTACTAAAGTACTAAAAAAAGTATTTTCGAACTTTCGATATAAGAGGGAGACTTTATATTTGATATGCATTATCAACTAATTAAATGCTTTCAAATGAAACCAAGGATACCCTGTGACTTTGACTGTGACTTATATGCTAAAATTTGGTTTTTCGAACTTTGTTGCCACTGGGCGCACAATGCTTCACAAACACATCTTTTTTTCATTTATTTCTTCATATTCTTTGAAATCTTATTGAAATACTTTCCCATGATTTTCAAAAAACCGTGAGAATAGAAAGAACAGACAGATTATCTTACTATTTGTATCATCAGTGAAAAAATATATCAACTCGCCTGATATTTGTCGTCTCCAGATATGGCTGATTCGAATTCCGGAGAATCTATGAATTCCTTAGCCTGGACTTGATGAAGTTCCTGATGACTACTATACACTGACATCCTATCAAGGAAAGGACTCAATTAGATTATACTGATACACCGACATTCTATTATAGCATCAATAAATATATCTCATAGTGAAGGGTTGTTTTCAACAAAAGATGTAGTACCTAAAGTCACTCTAATTGAACGTTATGTATAAATTGTAAATTTAATAGTTTTTATAATGTAGCGCCTGCCACAGAAATGGGGAACACTTCATTATTATTTGCAAATCTAAATTATTATGTTAATTTCGTGAGAGAAGTATAAACCTTTGCGTATTAAGCACTTTACATGTGCTAACGGATGCTCATAGGATTTTGTGTGGTTATAAGAAAGGAAAATATCTCAAGGCCTACGGAAACTGATGTAATATAAAGATTTACTGTAGGGTTTTTTAAAAGAGGAAAGAGCAAAAATCGATCAATTTGGTACGGAGGAGGGGAGGGGGCAAATAGAAATCTGCAAACAGGCCAGAAACACAGATCTCTGTAATCTTAGAGGAATAAATATTCCATGTAACCGGTCTAACCTGTAAGCCTTATTTTTATCAAATTATTTTTTTTTTCATTTTTCGCAATTTCTTTCAGTTCATGCTCAAATATATAGAATTGCCTTGCAAGGAGAGAATGTTTTTTTTTCAATTACATTATATCGAAAAATGTCAAATTAGATATACTGTACTTTTAGGAAAATTTTCAATTTACAAAAAAAGGATACCGTACATGTATTAAGTCGTTCGTTAGCAGTGGTGATCCTGGAGTGTGAAAGACTTTATTTCTGTTATTTAAACTTTCTGGTTACGAGAGTATTCCTAGTATGTCTAATATTCTAATTTTCTTGGAGAATGGTAGACCTAATCAGCCTATTTTATCCCTTACACTCTAGTCTATAAGTAGACCTCGTCTGTCTATTTAACCATTTACTTTCAAACTATAAGTAGACCAAGTTTGTCTGTTTAATTATTAACTTGTTATCTAAAGGTAGATCAAGTCTTTATGTTTAACTACATACTTTCCAGCTATAAGTAGACCGGGTCCGTCTACTTCGTCATTTACTTTCCAACCATAATTTGCAATTATTTCCTTTGCTTATATATTGTATTAATGCTATAAGACGTATGTCTTTTGCAATAAAGGAAGTGAAATTGAATTAGATCAAGTCCGTCTGTTTTATCACCTACCGTCAAGTTATAAGTAGACATAATCTGTTCATTTTTTCAATCATCTTCCAGCTATAAGGAGACATCGTCTATTTTCTTTATTAATTACCTTCCAGCTATAAGTAGACCCAGTCTGTCTATTTTACTTATCCCCTGACTGGCATAAACTTCCCCTTCGTGAAGCATTCCTAGGGTGCAGTAGTCAGGAGAGACCAGCTTCTTATAGAGATGCCTAAAGTATATATTAACACTGTTAGATCTTGTTTATATCTAATTTCATAAAACTCATAGAATTTCTAGTTGATTCTAGTCAATTTTGACTTTATTTATTTGAAAGAAAAATTGAATGTAAATAGAGAAGAAAAACTGGTATTTTGACTACAAGAACTACATGTATATGATTTCTACAAACTTCATTGGAGTTTTTAAGATTTTTAATTTTTCGCATAACAAGGAAGTTATCTTGAATGCATAATCATGTTGCAATTTGCATTTGATAGAATCTTACCTGGGGACTCTAAGAGGCTGAAACACCGTGACGTAAACATCTTCCAGATCATCACAGAATTTGACAGGTCTGATGTTGTACAGAATAACTAGGGCCTGAACAGCATTTATCACCATAAAGCTGAAATTCCAGGAGAAGTAATCGGGAGCGCACAGTATTACCCATGACCAAATGGACAACAGCAAGAAGCCTAAAAATACTTCATTCTGTGTAAAATGTAAAATTTGGCGAAAGCAAACACTGATCAATCTCAAAAAAAGTATAATCAAACAAGTTTGTGAGGACATCAAACGAGGTCCCATGGAAATTCCGAGGTATAGGATCTAGTGTCTAGCTATTTAGAAGGTGTAAGCATCCCCTGTTGAGTGGTTACTTCGATGTTATGATATGATTAATAAGTTTTAATGATATAAAAGTTTTATTTATTCTTTTATAAACGTGCAATTTTGAGGTGTTTCTTTTACAATATTGTCCTGCAAGCTATGTTATCTTTATTATTCATTTTAATCGTTTAAAAACATTCCTTTTGAAAAATCATAAGATTTAAAGCAGCAATTTATATTAGTAAGCAGAAGGGTTTTTTTACTGAATCTTAAAAACAAAGACCTATCGTTATTCCTCCATGGCAATTGATTCTACTTATGATATTTTTGAAAGTCCCCTCTTTCTCTGCTTTTGCTTTGCTTGAATGTAATTTTTTTTGCAAAATTACCTTTCATCCTATCACAACCATGAATTTCACATTTCTTTTTTTCTATTTCTAGTTGATGAAATTAATTTCTTATCAATGATCAAGATAGGTTTATTTTTTTTCTCAGAAATATATTTAGAATAACAGTTTATGTTGTAACATATACAAATATATGTCTACCTAGAACAAAGCATGAATGCATGAAGAGTGTTCCATGTTTAGAAGCAGGACTTGCCAGGGCTCCAAGCAACACGCTGTTAGCCATCTGAAACAGGTAATGTTGAGGTACCACCCAATGGCAACCATCTTCTGACTGGGAGAAGTTTAATGAAGGCCAGTCCAGCGAGACATTTCCAGTGGCTTCGTGAAGTGTCATTTTTTGAAGATATTATGTTTCTATCAATAATCTGTAGAGTAGAAATGTACATTAGATAAACTAGGGATAATGTAGACTCTAGAAGACATAGTATTAAAGAAACACATTGCATTTTAAAGTTTAAGAAATTCTCTTAGGTCGTATTATTTTGAACATTATCTTACAAAAATGAATGTCATCATATTTTGCACAAAACTGTATTTTAAATTTCATTTATGTTTCTATTATCAATTGTTTTTATTTGTTTATATTCTCTCACATTCAAGTCCGACATGTAAAACTTTCAAAGTGTATAAATATGTTCTTAAAGAAAAGAAAGAGCTGTATAAATAAAATATTATGCTGACCTGCAGTAAATATATTATCTAACGTCTGCTGTATCAAAAATAAAATGGCGAGTATCCGTCCTCCCAATCAATAACAGAACTTGTAAGCAGATCAACATTTCAAAGGGAAACAAACTCTATATTGTATTGTAAGCATTCTAGTGATTTTTTTTCTTTGAAGAGAGATCACTCTTCCAGAGTAATGATAGATTCTTCTCTCCCAGTTTTTATTATTTACCTTTATGTGATACATAACGTTAAATTTCATACTTAAATTGCTGAAGAAGGGAAACGTTTCATATCGTTTTAACTTACAATTTTTCATACATTCATTCATTGATTGATTCAAAAGACTTTACTAAATACATGTTATGGAAATTTTACTGCAGCCCAGAGGACCGGGCTGCCCTATACATATGAATGAAAATGAACTTATAGTAACGATATAGTTGATATTGTTGACGATTTTAATCATCTTGCAATGCCATTTAATTACAATGGAAAATTTTTGAGAACTCAAAAAACACGCTGCAGAGCAAGGTAGAAAAGCTTCATTTGCTATTTCTAATTCATTAAAAGCACATGCATTCAATGCTGAAACACAGTTATCTGTTTTTGATACTTACGTAAGTACTGTACTTTTATACGCATCAGACGTATGAGGATGGCAAAAGCTACTGATATTGAAAAAAATCCATCATAAATATTGTAAAAGAGCTTTAGGGGTGGGTCAGAAAACAGTCAATAAATTCGTATATTGCGAATTGGGAAGATATCAACTAGCACAAAAATGAAATTAATTTTTTTTAAATACTTGCTCAAGTTAAGAGGGACTGATAATTGTATTCTTAGGGCCTATTATGAAGATATGGTTTTACGTAACGAGAATTTGATTTTGTGTATTGAAGAAGAGTTGGGGAGACTAGGTTTGAACTATTTATGGGATTCCAACATTGTTGATAATTGTACATATAAAATAATTGAGCAAAGGATGACTGATGTTTATAGACAAAATATTTTTTCATTTGTAACTGCATCTTCAAAAAAACAATTGTACCAGTACGTTGTAAATAATTTTGTATTACAAAGATATTTAACAAAACCTATTGATGATAGATAAAAGAGAATGCTCACCAAGATTAGATTATCAAACCACCAATTAAAAAATGAAAGTGGTAGATATAAAAATACACTTCGATATCAAAGAATTTGCACACTACGCTCATTTACAGTATATTGATATTGAAGTTGAATTTCATTTCATATTAAAATGTTCATTTTATGAAAATCTGAGAAGTATGTACATTAAGAAGTATTATTATGTCAAACAAAGTTTATTTAAAGTTGTAAGTTTGATGAGTAGTCGAAATGTAAATGAGTTGTCTAATTTAGGAAAATTTTTATATAAAGCTACAGCTCTACGAAAGTCTAATTTGTAACTACTGTTGATATTTATATTCTTTGTGTACTTTTGTATATAATATTTATTCTATACTCTTTATCATGTTTGTGTGCTGTATAAAATCTGATGAGCCTTTGGCTTAAAGAATAAAGAAAGAAGACATGAAGTTAACTACTATATTTGGCTATAATAACTGTCAATTAACAACTTTCTACCAAGTGTTTTAAGACTCCCATCTTCGACTTCTATGCACTAATTATATAATGCACTAATAAAGACTTACAAATATTTCATACACGGTGTCAAGTGAAATATGAGGATAAATAATTCAGAGGATTAGTGTTGATAATTTCAAGATGAACACAAAAATAATCAAAATCAATAAGATGCAATCAAATTATTTATTGTTTTATTTCAATTTGTCATAAAACAGGTCAGTTGTGTCAAGTATATTTTAATGTATTACAAACAATAACAGCTTCTTATGTTTTTAAAGAGGACAGATATGCATGTCATACTTCGCTTTCTTCTTTCAAATTGCTTCTTCATAATGGATAAGGGTATGTTGATTTTCATTTTTTTAATTAAAACTTTTATGACATTTATAACACAATCATAAAAAAATATGCATTTAAACTTCGAAACGTACGATTAAACTCATAATTGAAATTGCAGACTTTAAATTTTATTTGATGTGTTTTTTTTTTTTATTTGCAATTGCTATATTATTAAAATTTTCACTTTAAAATTTGTAAAAATGGAGTTGTAGGCAGAAAAAAAAATATTTTCATATCAACTAACACATTTTTAGAACACAGTCTTATTACATCGAACGTTTTTATGATTGGATTTAGTTCTAGTGTTAGGAGTTAATGGATATTGCATGTTGTTGGGTTTTGTTCTGTGCAAAGCAAATAATGAAAATATTGCCTTTAATCTATTCTTAAAGCCTAAGGAAATAGTCTGAAATATATTTTTTAATAATAAATGTATACTTTAGATTTTTAGGCCAGTTTACAAAAAATGATTTTGTATTTCTTGCTTTTGTGAAAACTTTCAATATGTTTCTCATGAATTCGCTTTCAAAAATCTTTGATGAATTTTTCTTACAGATTAAACTACTAACGTTGATATCGAGACAATTTTGCAGGTCCTTTGTTTTTCATTACTAGAGATTTAAGAAAAATTAGAACAATAAAGAATTATCTAACCCATTCCACTCTAAAGATTAATTGATTGTGAAGTGAAGGCAGATCTCTAAAAACTAAATTGTAAAATGTTTAAGACGCATACAATTCATAAATTTGAAATTAAATAAAAAACAAAAACAAAAAACAAATAAGAGTTCATCTTATTTTAATTAAGTGTTTTTTACACAAGTTATAAAGGGCATATAAAAAGTTTCTAGAATGGTTTGGTAAGATATTGAATGTTTGAAGGAAATTAATATTCGTGAAATAAACTGGACAATAAAAAGAATTCGAATGAAGGGATTTTGATTACTTTCCTTTGAAAAGTGTACAAAAGTCGTTAATTTTACCTCTATAGATTTCTTTCGGAAGATCAGACAAATAGATTAGTACTGTCTAGATAACTGAGGCTTTATTACAATATTTTCATCGATTCAATCATTTGTTTTTTCTCTTTACACCACCAAGCCTTTCATATGTCGAGCAGTTGATATTTTAAAAAAAAACGCAAAAAAGTGTCAATGATAAACTTTTTAATAAATAAATGCATTATCTATTTGAAATAACAAATTATATTTGAAATATATAGTAAAATATATAGTCTGATAAAAGTGTGTTAATGCTATAATTTTCATCCAACCTCCGCTTCATCATGTTAATTCCAAAAAGTTCATTTATAATTTTAATTTTTCTTATCAGACAATGGGTTATTCTCACATAGAACGGATCTATTCTCGTGTGATATTGTATTTTTTTCTTACAAAATGCAGAGATTTCATCAATATTAATAGAAATACTTCATCGTCTAAGCACCTAATTTTAAGTATATGTATAACTCAAAAATTTACATCTAAAGTATTTCTATTTATGAATTCCAAAAGAAAGGCTATAAAATAGATGGTAAAAAATTATTTTACACCTGTAGTCCTCTACTTCTCAAGACTGTGGAAAATTTCTTGACAGCACAGAGTGAAAAATCTGACTAAGAAATTTGTTCGATATTCATTAGTCAATGTTTTCTAAAGTCAAATTCCACTGGCAAACAAGGTCATTGTTTCGACCATAGAATTTGCAGAATGTTTACTTGAAATTGTTCGTTCGTTGATATTCTTACATAATTAATTTATCCGCTAACGAATTTCTGGGTTTTATTAATTTAGCTTTTTGACAAAAATATAACTAAATAAATATTAAATTACTATTGGCATTTGCTATGAACAAATAGATAAAAGAAGCTAACAATAGAAATATGTTTATTTTTGTAGGCGGTTCCATGCCCAGCTATCCAGCACTGGATGCATATACCATAGGAAACATAACTGAGCTTTATGTAGGTATGGTGACAACTGTTAGGATAACCCTGACATTACCGCCCGGGTATTATGAGGGCGTGAGCATATCCATGAATGACTCTCAAAACCATCAAAATTACGAAAACGTTGACATACATAAACAGTACTGCAGTGTTGGAGAGGACATTCATTATCAGAAGGAAGGAACAGCCAACAAGAATCCTCGTGCAAGAGTAAGTTAGTCTTTATCGCAGTGTTTTGGAGAGTTATATTTACAGTTATTTTTTTATAGCGTTCTTATAAATGAAAGATGACGATAACGAACAGTAATTATGATCAAACCTCCATTTAAAATATACATCTCAGGAGCAGGTATACGGATATCGAGATAACGAACAGTGTTTAATATCTAAGTCCATAAAAGAATACATAAAACGAGCAGAGAAAACACGGACCTCCGGAACATCGATGTTATTAGAAAAAAAAAATGTAAACATTCCATGGACTCTAAGTTTAAGGTTTCACATCTTTATATATATTAAAAGATTGGAAACGGTCAGCCTTGTACCAAAGTGAGTTCTTGTAAAGTCAAATCTAGGTCTAAAATAATAGGCCTCGATTTGTTTTGGCTAAAGTGTGGATGCACGACTGACATCTATCACATATATTTCTTATGCCATTTCTCTTTTCGCTATCTATCAGATTAACCTCCCCATATAGCATATAATTCAATCGTTTTCAAAATCTTTCCTTTGGATTTTGTGTATTACCACAATAAATGTATTTCAAAATAAAATTAATAACATATAATTATGTTTACTGACAGTTGTAAATCCTTGTCATTCATATTCTCTTAAAAATCTATACATTTTTTTTTATCATATTAGATCTCTTTTTTGTCATGACAAAAGATGTTGTAGACATTTCAATGTGTAAAAAAATACTTGTAGGTTTATCAGTGCGTGTGTGAAAAATTTTAAAATGTTTTGTTTATGGTTTACTTATCTTTGTAAGTGTCAAGTAGATACCGATTGGACCAAAAAGTTTTTAAAAAGACAAATTATTTGCTTTTCATTTTGCGGTCGATGTTTTCAAAACTGTCAAATCCCATGCGTTTGGTTTCACATTGTCCATAGATCGAGCCGTTGAAATATCAGACTGCACTTATCCTGGGATCGTTGTTCAGTTCAGTCATAAGATCAACGTTTGCCTTTGTTACATCGTCAGTCACCTAACAACCCTTTTTAAGCCTTTAATAAATGATCTCTTTTTCACGACACGAATTTTTTATTCTATGTTGAGAAATTTTACAATTATAGGTTTGTGTTCGTCCAGCTTTCCGGGGATTCGGTTAATGGCCACATCACCAGTGTTTTGATTGTTTACCCCTTCCTCTGCTAGAGCAATTCAAACAAATACCAGGGGATTTTCTTCCCGGGTCTCAGGAATACCATGGACTTTATTATTGTGTTTCCGAAAATGTTGTTCGTTTTGGTTAGCCTTTCACATAGCAGCTTGTTCCACGTTTTCATTCACCTACTTTAAAAATAAGTTTGTAGACTCATTTATGTTCCTCTCCATGGATATCTTTAGTAAAAGGCGTAAAATATAATCGTGAATTGAAGAGAAACCAAAGTATTTTCCCTATAGGAGCAAACATGCAGACATCGTTACATGCACACTCGTGATCAAATTAAGTGTTTTAAAAGAGCAATTTATATTACAGAATTTATGTAGATGTATGAGAGAAAGAGAGACTATTGATAAGTGACTTTCACCAAGATGCATATAATTTGTGAAATGGAGTTCTGCCTAGACCTTTGAAAGCCTGTTGGAATCACAAAAAATATATTTACTCAACATTTATTCTTATCTGACCTTTAAATTCTTTAGAAATAAACACACAAAATATCGGAACGTTAAAAATAATCTGAAATTGCTCTGGGAGACACTTTATTCTGAATCACTTACCTTATTAGGTTTCTTGTCAATTTCAGAAAGGTTTTGCGAGAATGAACTTAGTGGTGGTCCGGTTTTTTGAAGTCAATGTTCTTTCTTCTGATAACAATACACAATCTCAAATTAGCTGTGACATGATGGTTTTCTTTCACAACGGGAGGGTCTGCTGGATGGAGAGAAAATTCTAACTAAATATAGCGCCGAGGCACCATCAAAGCCGGTCCAAAATCTTCTTAGTGGAGCATTATATTTAACAGCCCGGACGTCACTTTTGGTGAGTGTAAACCAATTCAAACTTTTAATGATTTTTTTAGCATCATTTTCTTCTAAAAGCAGGTACAAATGCAGTTGCAAAACAAATATTTATGTCACTATTGCATTGGGGATAGCATAGTAAGTTACGATTACAATGAATAAATCATAAAAGATGTTATACAGTCATGTAAATATACACAATTGTATCACACATTGGGAAAAATTGTAACGACATTTTCATGAAATATAGGATACGATGGGTTGAAAAATCTAAAAAGTGTAAATTGCCTAAGCCGAAGCAGTTTTTTTGCAAGACAAACAAATTGATCTGCAATTTTCCAAATGATCAATACAATATGTTGATTTTACAACAAATATTAAAATATAATAGGTAAAATTCTCCACATAAGTAAGTTCAAGACGACTCAAATTATTTTTGGCATGTAATCTAAAAAAAACAAATATAGCTCACAATCAATAGAAACGCAACACTCTAATTTTAGGATGAAAATTATATACAGGATATTACGATGTTCCAAAAAGTAAGGACATCTTTAACTTTACCAAATCAGTTATTTAACGGTTTAAGGATTTTCAATCCATTACCGGATGTTGATTTTTAGCCATCTTAACAGAAGTAAAAAATTAGCATTTTTTATAAAATTATTGACAATATTTTGGTTTTTTTAAGGTTTTGTACCTGTTAATCATAAGTATTGTCCGTATCTTTCTTTTTTTTCTACATGTGATGCCTGTATTTCCTCAAAATGACAAAGCAGGATGCTGGAAATTCTCAAAATAAAGAAAAAGGAGAGCTACAGATGCAAATATACACTACAAAACGACTTCTCGGGCTCATGTTTTTCAAAAGCATGAATGACAGTTCCTTGACCGGAAGACTAAGGGTTACTACACTATGCCAAGTTAGAGAAAATTCGACCTTAGTATCTAAAAAACAGGCATTTAAAACTTCCCAAGAATATCTATTTCGCTCAGATAAAGACGTTGATACATCTAATGCACTGTAGAAATCGGGATGCGTATGTTGTACATGGCGGACTAGCACGTTTTAATTAAATGGTCGGAAGGGGGGTGTTTTAAAAGTTATCTGTTAAGAGCGCAAAAAATCAACTTCCGGTAATGGAAATCATTCAACCGTTAAATAACTGATATGGCAAAGTTAAAGATGTCCACACTTTTTTTGGTACATAGTTATATCCCGTATATAATTTTCTTCCTAAAATTAGGGTGTTGCGTTTCTATTGACGGTGAGTATGTTTGCAGGACATTATTTATTAATTAGTGTATTTATTTATTGTACAAGGAAACGTCTTGCCCTGTTTCGTTATTTATTTCATTTTATTTTATTTTTTTTTTTTTTTTGATAGAAAATTCACTCGTCGAAAATAATTCTGATATTTTCTCTGATTTGAAGATACAGCCATAAAATTTATAATTTTGATATGTAAATATATCTCATGTCACTTAAGGCAGTGTTTATATTGATGTGTTTTTCAATTATTTGATTTTCTTTATTAACAAATGCAGCCAATGAATAAGACAGATTCCTACGAAGTGGAGGCAGTGACTTTTTCCACAATAAAAACTGAAGTAAAGAATGTCACAAGAATTGTCTTCAAAGCATGGATCCCATTCTATAATCCACAAATCAGAGTTCATCTCACTGGACAACACATGGAGGCTTTGTATCTTAAAGTTCGTGATGTGGGGGACCATTTTTATCCAGTAAGCATCAATTTTTAATCTTAAATTTGGCCAAATTCACAATATAATTTTCGAATCACTGCCTTGTTTGTGGGGTATGCCAGGGCATTAACGATAGTTGGAAAAGTGGGATGATTTGCAGAACGGGCGAACACATTTGAAATACAACGTTATATTTGCTTTCTTTTTAATGATCAATTGACTAAAACGTTGATGGTTTTGTACATGTATGAAAAATGTCCATTCTATTTAATATCTATATACACGTAATATACACGATATATAGTGATTTGCTTCATTACTAGCCATCGTCATAACAAATATGCTTGATATATAATTAGACTACCAATTTATAACTTCAATTTATAAAGTCACACGAGATCAAATGATCAATGCATGTGTACATAATGATTAATGTTTGTCGTTATGTTTATAAATTGTTGTCTGAGACTAAATGATACCATGCTTGCTATACAGTGGTATAGAGCGTAATACAGAGGACTCTCTTTACAGGGGGCCACTATTGGGTATTTGGAAACGTGTTATGTAGGATATTCTAATATTACCCTACAATTTCCTTCCGACTGGGTGAACAGGGGTTAGTATTTTTTTTTTCTTTTTTGGTTTTGCTACAGTACAACAAATCTTTCGAGGTTTATGCAATTGATTATCTTTGTATCGAGTTCGTATTCGCCTTGCTTATGATTTCCTTGTTAAACTTCAATTTAAGTGCAATTATTTTTCTTATGTGCTAGTCTTTTATAATGGACGAAGTTCAAAACAAACTTTTTTTTAAAGTCTCAAATATAACCACAATAGGAACAGGTTTTTTTTAATTTCATATATATATATTTTTTTTTTTTTTGATGTCGTTTATCTTGTGCAAACAGTCGCCCGCGTTTTTTTTTTCTTTTTTTTTTTTTTTTTTTTTTTTTTTTGCGAAATCTCAAGATTGAGTAATTTCATAAAATCTTGGTATACACAATCACTGAGTGCTTGTAATGATTTGTTTCAGTCATTAGAGACTATTGAAATCATTTTCTTGATCAAACGACTGCTCAATGAAAGGTAACTTTTTTAACTATATATATCCACAGGATATTATGACAATGAAAACACCACGGATGATGACGTCATCGTGTTCGAAGCTGGAGTGGCTCTGTCGGATATGGCTATTGTTGGGACAGTGAATAACATCAGCATCAGTATATTTGTAGACGATATAGAGGTTTGGAATTCAACTGCCTCACTAGAAGCATCAACTTCAACAAACGTACGCATCCATGTTAATTATCTTGTACTTTGTAAAATGCACTCCATGAAGTTATTATATGTTATGAATTCAAAATTTATTCGACTTTAATTGTGGTTTCTAGCATTGAATAGAATAAGCCCATATCATAAGCATTATTAACATAACGTTGGCAACAGGTTTTGACACGTTTGCATTTAAATAACAACGTTTTACATACTTAGTATATTTTTAAGACAACGTCATTTTTAAAAAAATGTTTTTTCCAGGGTGTGACACCAACAATGTTCATACTAAAGGGTTCATCTGACAAACTGTCCCCCTCTGATCAAGTGACCTACATCATGGAAATCGACATTCCGGCCGGTAGAGCAGAAAATTTAAATGTAACGCTTTTATCAAAACAAATAACAGACAAGGCAGAAATAAGAGACACTCCTCTGTACGTACAGAATATAGATGTCTACGGCGGCAAGGGGATGATTTGTTGATCTTATCGTAATTATACTCAAACTCAGTCTGTCGCCTCAGGCTCCGTCATATCTTCAAGATATTTAAATGGCAATAAAGCCCCAGCTTTAACCATTCAATTTGATGTAAAAATGCATCCAAAAGAATTAATCAACTTTAGCAACACTTATGCGGTGTCAATAAATACAGGAGAGAAATCCGTCGAGGAAAATATCATTTTTAACAAGCCTACTTTCTTTCAAGATGACAATTTGATGATATTATCAACTTTTTATCAAGTACTAGTTAAGATAATATGACGACTTGTGTCATTATTCCCAATAAAACTCAAAAAATGATACCTTATTACTTATATTTACATTTGTGACTTATTCATACTTTATATTTGCTTTGTTACTTTTAACGTGTGAAATGCGTTAATTTTTCAATACGGCATGTATAATCCTTTTTATGGTTTGGCATTGAAGTATTTACACAATTATAAAAACGCTTGCATTTGATTTGCAAATTAAATATATGATAATATGACGAGTCATTAAGAAAGAATGAGTACTTTTGATGTCTTGCATTGAAGACAAGGCATTTGATGTTACAGTCAAAGAGAATGAAATGTCTTGTTATGCACATGGAAAGCGAATTCTTCTGGTAAGACCTTTTTCTCTTTTATTTACTTACTTAACAAATAATTCAGAAAATGGACTGAAATATGGGGAACTGTAAAAAGATATACATGAACCTGCAAAGTGCATATCCTTCATGAGGTTTTATTTTTCAATCAATGGTATCATGTTCAATAACGCGATTTCAAAATCGAATCAACAGGACGTTTTCTTCGATTTAAACAAAGTAACCCAGGAAATAAACTGATTTTTTAAGTACTTGATCGAGTTATTTTTCAGGTATTATTCCCAACAACGGTCCTGGTGGACAGCTTTCAAGGATTTTTTGCAACCTGTGATTTGATAACCAAAAATAAA